TCTGTATTTATAGCTTTAGGGTTAGAAATTTGTCAACTTAGATTTAGGGATTGATTGGGTTTCATTTGATTTTGTATTGATACTGTAATATTTTGATTTAGTTTTTTCTGTAATGGATTTAATTGTGTTAATAGATTCCGAAATTTTGATTTGGATAAAGATTCGTTTTTCTGGAGATTTAATTTTGTTGTTTTAGGTTTTGTACAAAATTCTGGGATTTAAATAAGGAAATATTTGATCTATAAAGTGCTTGTTAGTGTTAGAACATGCGTAAAATTTGGCTTGGATTAAAACAGTGTTTGTTCATGACAGAAGTGCATTTTCTGGCTAATTGATACAGTAAATATTATTCTTTAGTTGGGCTTTTACGCGGTTTCTACAACAACACAACATTAATCCGGATTGGGCCAAAGCAATCCAACAAATTTTTTATTTCTTTTTTTTTATCTATCACATAACTGTAACAACAAATGTTTAATAAAATACTTTATAAAATCTTTTTAATAACAAAAAAATAACAATCTCCTAATAATTTTGTAAAAATATTTTTCCAATTATAATAACTGAAAAGTTTAATGATAGTAACATTTTAACAAAAATGGGAATGAGCCAAACTAAATGGACTTTTAATTTAAAGTTTCACCTCTTCTTTTTACAAACAACAATAACACTTAATGAACCCTTATGTAGCAATTATTAATTAATAGCAACTTAAATTTAAGTATACTTAATAATTTAATAACTTAGTAATAATTTTATTTTTTTAATTGCATGGACCATGGGCCAACATGCGTCGCGAACGGATTTATGAGTCTTTCTGATTTAGAAAGCCCCATTTTCTTGAATTAAAATACACCCTTCTTTCTTGGATAAAGATGGGCCATCAGATGCTGCTGTGCCATCTTTAATTAAATATTTCTTCTATTTAAATCTTGAAAAATAAAATCACCGAGGTAGGACAAATTTGGGGTACGACAGAAGGAAATAGAGCCCCTAGATTTTTGTATGAGAATGGTGTTGTCGCTCCCTCATCATCGGGCGAGCCTCAGGCGAGCATCCTGCATCGCCGGACGAGTATCGAGCGATGGACAACAGTAGGATTTTAAAAGTGTCATAATTTGAGTTTCAAGACTCTGATTGACGCGTCGCTTGAAGCGTTAGGAAGCTAATACGATGAACTGTACCTTGATGGAATAAAAAGAGTCATATGATGTGTTTTTAAAGTACCTATGCTTTGATGAATAAGATGATTCGGTGATTGTTTTGGTATGACGTATGTGTATATGATGAATTGTTAATGCTATGATGATCTTGTTTTTCATTATGAAGTGTATGTTAATATTATGATGATTATATGAATGATGACGCGTTTTGACTAGCAGTGGTCATTTGGTTATTAATATGTTTCACATCATGCATTCATGGCATATGTTATGGCATAGCCCAATGTTGGTTGCAGGATGTTGTTCTAGTGAATTTTGTAGGACGAATAGTCCAGTGATGGCCTCAATCCCATAGTGTGGATTGAGTGCAATTGGTAATGTTCTCTAGTTCCAAGTGAGAATCGATCCTATTGGTGGGGGTCTTTGAAGAAACGATAAAGGTGTCATCAGTGAAGTTGTAGTACCACATGCATGAATCTAAAGAAGTTGCATGGCATTATATGTGGCATTGCATGATGATTTGATTGACTGGTGTTTTGTGAATGTGTGTTTGTGTTAATTGTTAATTGATGCTATTACCATGTGTCTAATGCGTATTATGATGCTTGAAAGTGTGAGTGTGACATGAAGTTTCAATGGTGTGTATCTTTGGTGTTGTATTATAATTACTATATTTACTCTTTATGTCTTTTATAATGATTATGATTTACTCACCCTTGCTACTCGGAAATGTTGCCTCTATACATGGGTAACTTGCAGATAATCAAGAATAGTTCGTTGAGGCTTAAAGGATAATGGCGAAGTGTGTTCTTTATTTCCTGTAGAATAAAGGGGTCTTGCTCTAATATGTAACACCAGGGATGGGATCGTTTGCTTTGAATAACCATGTTACTTTGTTTATTTTGAGATTTGAGTTGTTTTGACTTAATGAAGTTATTTAGAAGTATCTTAATAAAGATGTTTTAAATTATGAATTTCCGCTGCGAGCAAGTTGAAAAACTATGATTGTTAATCATGAAGTATTTGATGTAATTAATTTTTGAAAACCCGTGTTACGTAGCAGGATGTGTTTTACTATGAAATTTGTTTGAAGCAGTGTGACACCCTTTTTGGTGCATTACTCTGATTTAATTATTGAATTATTTTGCAAATATTCTTTGTGGTTTAGAAGGGTGTTACAGTTTCAATAACACATATTATATATGTGCTTGATATTCGAAACACTTCCAGGTCTTTTTTGTTTCAAATATGCAAGTATGTTTTGCAGTGCCACCCTGATTAAAGACATGTTTGAAACAATTTCCTTCTCCTCCGATTTAAGGTGACATACGATGGGATGACCGACTAGCTCGGTTTGTAAGGCATGACTATGTATACCAAAAACCATATTAAATTTCTATATATCATTCACCTTACAGTATCCGTGAAATTTAAATTGACACTTACATTTTCTTGATCATGTGTCATAATGTTTTAACTTCTGAATCGGTGGAACGTACGTGCCACTTCTCTCACATCTCATGGATGTAAAAGCTTGCCTTATATTATAGCCATTGTCAGGTCTTCCCGTTATAATGCCAATCCCTAATTTCTTGGCCTTCATGCGAACCCATTAAAACATATGTCCACGAGCAATAATCAATTGTTCATTTCTAAATTGTTGGTCAATATCTATCTCGACAACAACCGGTCTAGTATCGGGTTTAACATCATCCTTCACCTCATACGGTTTAACATTATCCTTCACTATTTCTGGTTTTACATCATTACTTACAGTAACTTTGGGAAACATATCCGGGTGCATCATATCTAATACGAACCAAAACAAAAATCGGTTTTAAAACCTCACAGTAACATGCAAATCTGGAGATGCACATCTGAAACATTAAAGGTGAATTTGGAGATGCACATCCAAATATAACATACTTTTTCATCTCAAGAACAATATTAACGCAAGCAATGAGGAATGAAACAAGTAAACTTTACCTTAAACTGCATCTTCTTTTTCTCCCTTTAATTTGATGTGATAAAACACAAGAATGATGATTTGCAGTCGAAAAGTTGATTGAGAATGCATTTTTTTAAGGTTTTGGGTTATGGAGGTGGTATGGAGTGTGGGAGAGATGATCATGCAATGTGGTGATATGTTCAATTTTCCGCTTGACATTTTTGGAGATGCATCTCCGAAAATTTCACTAAATGGTTAAATAAAACAACTCAATGAAAAACGCACAATAAAATGGGTTCAGGGGTGTTTTTGGAGATACATCTGAGTTATCTCGAGAAAATTATGGAGATGCATCTTTGGATCAATTTTTGACAAAAATGGCGTGATTGTTTGATTTACGAAGGATGTAGTGATTTAAGGTGCGTCCAGAGATGTAATTTCGGATGCACCTAAAGATGACTTCGGATTTTCAGTGGTGTGAGTCACACTTTAAGTGTAAATACGTTGATCTCATTCCGATTATAATTGCTTCAAATCATGGAAATATGGCTATTAGTGTGGAAGGGCCTTGTCCAACTTTTATTCAGTTTGGAGATATTGTCCTGTCTCCCCCACTTAAATCAGACACCCTTCAATTGGAGCGTTTTTACTATAATATTATTTGTGATATTTTTATGTTTTTTAAAATTTATGTTTTTTTAAATTTTTGAGAAATTTATGAGTTTTTATAGGATTTTTAGAGAACTTAACGAGTTTTTACTAGATTTTTGGGAGATCTTTTAATTTTTACAGAATTTTTCAAAATTTATTGGATTTAAAAAATCTATGAGTTTTTATTAGATTTTTCAAAATATCTATGAGTTTTACCGAGTTTTTCAATTAAAATCTGTGAGTTTTTTATATGAATTTTCAAATAATCTATGAGTTTTTATCGAATTTATACAATATTATATCGGATTTTTCAAAACTCTACAATTTTTTTGCCAAATTTTTCAAAAAAATTGATAGTGTTAACTTTGTTTTTTTTCCTATTGAATATAAACTACCAAATTTTTAAAAAATCCAAAAATTACAAAACATGTTGAATTATAAAAAATTCGATAGTATTAACTTCATTTTTTATAAGCCTTATCAATATGAACTACTCAATTTTTAAAATAAACTATCAGATTTTTTTTTATTTCTACATTTTTGTTAATTGTACTACCAATTTTTCACGCACTATTTTTTTTAATTAAATTTTAACACAAATGATTTTGGATATTATGGAAAATTGAAGGATACCAGATTTAAATGTTGAGTCACGTGACAAAATCTATAACTAAATATTGCCTCTTATTTTCTTTAACTAAATATTGCCTCTTATTTTCTTTAATATCATTTTCAATTTACATATTTTATAAAAATAATGTGTCTTATTAAATTTTTACTATTACCAACTTAAGATATCGAATCGAAAACTTCAATCCAATTCATCAAAAATAATAGATCAAACGGATGAACCCGACATATACAATCTATTTTGTCACCCTTAAATGGATCAATTCCAGTAATATTCAACCCATACACCCCCCTAACAAGTTCAAGAAAAAGATGAGTAAATAAATTCATTGATTTTGACAAAATTGTATCCTACGTGAATTCCACTAGAAAAAAAATCAATAAATAAATTCATTAATTTGAGAATTGTTTCCTACACCGACTACAAAACAAGAAAGCCAAAAAGAAAATAACAAAAAGATAACATAGAGACTAGTGCCGGATGTCATAGTTTTAGCCACCCAAATTCTATAAAATAGTCATGGTTCTTATTAACTAATAGTAAAGACCCTCACATCCTTTTGTTTCATTCTCTATCTTCTTTTGCATCACCAATAACTAGCATAGAAATGGAATGGGTTTCAGGCATAATTTTCATCCTAGGGACACTTGGTTTGATAAGTGCTTGGAGGGTGTTGAATTGGGTGTGGCTGAAGCCAAAGAAGCTAGAGAAGCTGTTAAGAGAACAAGGACTTCATGGTAATTCATATAGGATCTTGGTTGGGGATATTAAGGATCTTTTTAAGATGGAAAAGGAAGCTAAATCCAAACCCATGAATCTCTCCGATGATATAATTCCACGTGTCAGTCCTTACATACAAAAGAGTATTAAAATTCATGGTATGTTTCTTCTCATTCTTAAAAGTTGTATTTCATGTTAGCTTTCTATAACGTTACATAATTATAAATAGTTTCATATTTCTCTTTTGTTTTGTTGTATATATCTTTCTCAACACTTTAAGCTATTTGTTTTTACATTACTAAAAATGACAATTGATCTTATTGAATTGGTAAATTATGCAGGCAAGAATTCCTTTATTTGGTTTGGGACAAAACCTAGAGTGACACTCACAGAACCTGAGCAAATAAAAGATGTATTGAACAAGATCTCTGAATTTCCAAAGACAAATTATAAAATTTTCAAGTTATTAGCTAGTGGTCTTGCTAGTTATCAGGGAGAAAAGTGGAGCAAACATAGAAAACTGATCAACCCTGCATTCCATTTAGAAAAATTGAAGGTTAGTTTTTATTAGCGATATAATAAAAGGTTATATATTTGATATATTACTGAAGAAGAAATTACATGTCAATCCAAATCAACAAGATACATAATAATAGATAAATGAAATTTAAAGTGAAATTTAAACTTTTGGTTATTTTTAAATATTACACGACAGATTATGACGCCAGCTTTCTTGGAAAGTTGCAATGATTTGATTAGAAAATGGGAAGAAGTGTTGTCTTCAGATGCGTCATGTGAAATAGACATATGGCCTTCACTTCAGAATCTGGCAAGTGATGCTATCTCTCGAGCAGCTTTCGGAAGTAGTTATGAAGAAGGAAAAAGAATATTTCAACTTCAAAGAGAGCAAGCTGAACATATAATAAAACTTGTAACAAAATCTATCATTCCACTATGGATGTAAGACTTAACATTACATATCATATTTAGTTTTTTTCAATGTTTTTTCTTGTTAATTTCTCTAGTTATTTCAACTTTCTTGTTTGTAGGTTCCTACCTGCTATTGTACATAAAAGGATGAATGAAATTGACAAAGATATAAAGTCTTCGCTTAAAGATATAATTAACAAGAGGGAGAAAGCACTAAAGACAGGTGAATCTACTACGAACGACTTATTGAGTATTCTTCTTGAATCAAATCATAAGGAAATTGAAGAAAATGCAAACAACAAGAATGTGGGAATGAGTCTTGATGATGTAGTCGAGGAATGCAAGTTGTTCTACTTTGCAGGACAAGAAACTACTTCGGTTTTGCTTGTTTGGACAATGATATTGTTGAGTAGGTACCCTGATTGGCAACGACGTGCAAGGGAGGAGGTATTACAAATCTTTGGCAACAAAAAACCAGACTTTGATGGACTAAATAATTTGAAGATTGTAAGTATTCTACTACTGTGTTTTCTTAAATGCATTTATGCTTCTCATTTTAACTAAAAATGAATAACCTTAATACTTATTTGTGACAGGTTACCATGATTTTGTATGAGGTTCTTAGGTTATACCCTCCGGTAGTTGGCCTTGCTCGAAATATCGTGAAAGATGTTAAACTTGGAAGCATAATATTACCCGCCGGAGTGGAAGTTTTCTTACCAATTCTTTCGTTGCACCAGGACAGTGAACTTTGGGGTGATGATGCTAAGATGTTCAATCCTGAGAGATTTTCCGAAGGAATTTCTAAAGCAACAAATGGTAGAGTTTCGTTTTTTCCATTTGGATGGGGTCCTAGAATTTGCATTGGACAAAACTTTTCCTTAATAGAAGCAAAGATGGCAATGACAATGATTTTGCAGCATTTCTCATTTCAACTTTCACCAACCTATGCTCATGCTCCATCCGCTTCCATTACTCTACAGCCACAATATGGTGCTCAAATTATTATACGTAAAGTCGAAACATAAAAACTTAATCATTCTAAGGTTATAAGGGGGTGAGTTTTATTATATATTGTCAAAAACATGAATATCTGATAAGTTATCATGTTTTCTTTCACCTAAATTTTTCAAAGGCAAATATTTCTCCTTGAATAATTAGTAGGAGATTGGAGCCAACTCGTACCTCCATACACAAGGGGATATCATCCACTAAAGTTCCTTAATCAAAACACCTATATGAATTTAAACTTTGCTTGGGTTAGATTTGATAAATATATTATGTAGAATAAAATCATAAATTTCATTAGTTAGTATTATACATACATCTATTATTTTTAAGCTTCCATAACAAGGAGATCAACTTGATAGCTAATTAAGGATACCCTCTAACACATCTTAGTATTTACTTTTACTTCCCAAACAAGTAAACTAACTCTTAATCCCAAGAATTCCACCCTTTAACTTGACATTACTATGAAAAGAGTCCTTAATAGTTCAGTTTAACACAAAAAACATATACAAAATTTCTCCTTTAGCTTGAAAAATTACTCAAGTTTCAAAGACTTGACCATGATCGGTGACAAAGTCAAAAAAATTATAAAATTTGAACAAAAATTTTAAAGACCGTAAATTTACATATAATATATAAATAGTTATCCATTAAAATAAAAGTGACTCGTCATTTTATCAACAAAAATATAATTTAAAATAAATAAAAAAAGATGAAATATAATTTTACAATAATGTATTAAATAATTTTACTTGCACACCTACTTGACGTCCAACAGGTAAGATTGCAATGTCATATCCTCCTTAGCCTAACTTGTCTCAGAATGGGTTTGTCATTCTTTTCACTTCGGCATATCTATTCTGCTTAATTGGTACCGTTTAATTATAACTTTGTTCCATATTATAGTCCGTAGATTTTTTATTTTCTTGAAGATCCACCTCAGTATAAAAATAGGATATCATTTACATTTAAAAGAAATATTCACAATAAGTATTACAATTCCAATACTAAACAAAGAGGTCCCTGCTAGAAAAAAAAGTGAATGAAAATTATAAACACGATTCAATCTAAAACACGTTTTTTTGTCTTAACTCGAGTAATCTTGATTTCGATAAAGCTAGTTAAGGATTGTTCTAGTTAAAAAGTTGAATTCGTTCATTTTCTGAAATTCTGACACTTATAATACAGATGTCAAGAGTGATGTCATAACACCAACATTATTTCTTTCTTGAAACAACAACTTTCAGAAGAAAAATTATGCAGAAAAATAAAATACTGAAAGTAAATTAACACAGTTAATTGTTAACTCAGTTCAGTGTAACGTCAGGCTACCAATCCAGGAAGGAAATTCACTATGATAGTATTAGTTCAAAGCTTAAACAACCCTTGCTTACAACTTCTCGTCTAATCACTACCTTGTGCAACTTCTACCTAGACACCTCTAGATATGAGATCTCCATCTCACTTCCAATCACCGCACTGATATCTAGAGTCACAAACCTTGTGACTAGACCAAAATAACCACTACTACGAAAAAGGCTTTTAACAACGATTGGATTAGTTATATAATTACGCAGGTCCAAGCGTTATTATGTAGGGAGTTGTTGCACATGTGTTACTTTCAATCACGATTCAGTGACCATTGTAGTAAACTAATAGCACGCACCCTATAACAACGGTTAATTGTAATAACCGTTGTGATATTTTCTATAAATAAATTTCAAACGTATCATACCAAATCAACAATACACCATTTGTAAACTGATATCAAAACCACTATTACATCAAAATATACGTAAGATGAGATATCAAAGAATGGAAAATGAATTTTGAAAAGACAAGGAGATGTAATCATTCAACAACTCGAAGTAGGCAAAAATCTTTCTAACTTCCAAGAGAAGAGAAAACATATAGAATTAAAGAACCAATAATGAGCACACCAGCTTGACATGCGTGAAATATTTCCAACTTTCAAGAGAAGATGAAGAATCAGAAGAAACCGTATAAAAGCGGAAGAATACAAAACCAATTTCATCCAAATGGATCAAAATGAGTTCTCCTGCTCTAGTTGTTGTTGTGCAATTAAGATGTTGTTGTTGTAGAGGGTGTTGTGGTGCAAAACCATCCTCGGAATCAAGATTAGGAAAGAAGCTGGTCATGTGCAACATAAACATACTTAAGAGCTCTCAAGGTGAGGAGAAGAAGAATAAGAAGAAAAATAAGGTTGAGAAGGCAGATGATTTTTTTCATCTGATGATGATGATGCTAACTATTTTTGGTCAAACTTCCACTCAGCCAAAGGATTTAGATTTGATTAAGTTTATGTAATGAAAGTCTATGTAATGAAAGTTTATATATAATGAAAGTTTATAAACTCTAGGGTTTCCTCTAGGTTATCAACTTAAACTTTCAACCTAAACTACCACCTTAAATCTATCAACTAATATACTAACAAACAGATAACTAATTGAAAATTCAATAGTTTGCGATGAACTTACTCGTAAGAAACCGTCTTTTAGTTGCATTCCTGTCAAGTTCAATGCATCTGCAGTTTCAACATCAGCAATGGAATTCAAACCCTACTTCAACTATTATATTTCATAACAAAGTAAACATTAAACATAAAGGAGACAAGAAAACATAACATCTTCAAATTTATAGAAAATCTCTCTGATTTTAATTTGTTCTTCAAATTCTTGTTCTTCTTCTTTGAATCTTCATACATAACCTTCAAAATGGACATCTCCAACTTTGACTTCATAATGCTCTAATCTTCATTTCCATCTTTTTCTCCCATGTCTTTATCCCATATGAACAAATTACATGTTTCATCACTCCTCCAAAATGGACATATCCAAAAAAGCCTTTTTTTTTATTTTGTCCCTTCTTACATTGGTACGAAACCATACGACCATCACAATTATAGAAATTTTCAGATCGAGATTTTACAGAAGAAGAAGACATAGGAACACCTTTGGATGACTTTGTCTTCAAATGCGACATTGAAACAAAACTAAACAACAACAATGTCGAAAATATTTTACGTACCGTAAAGGTGTTGTTGTCTTTCTTCATGACGATGACGACCGTGTTGGTGTTAGGGTTGTTCCGTCTTGTAATTTCTTTTTTTCAGTGGAAAATGGATACTTAGTGTTTAAAATATATAAAGAAGGGCATGTGTGTTACAACAGTTTTACAAAAAAAATGTAGTGATATCCATATTATTTTTTAGTTACATATAAATAAAAATGAAAAGGCATGCATTAATGTCAAAGTAATAAACAATTTGAGGGCGATGGGGTTCGAACCCATGAAAGCTTCATTGTATCACCACAATGTTTACAATACCCTTAAAATTTTTAAATAAAAATTATTAAGAAAATGTTAGCGCAATAATTTAGAGGTGTCACCACGGTGTTTGGAAAAACCGTGATGACTTTGGTATTGTTATGTGTGTGTTTTGTAGTAGTGAATCAAATAGAAGATTACACTTCAAATAAACAATACTTAGTTTTGCTTAAAAGCTTCAACTAAGAATAATACTCAATTTTTTTCTTAAAAGCTCATGAGTGAGAACAATAACTTGATATAAAATCAAGTAACAATTAGTCAAACTCAATGCAGCAAAAGGTACATAAGTGACATACAAATAACATAAACACAAAGAACTTAAAAGACTCCAAAAACCCTAATCCTTATGTTGCACCTATGGTTTCTTCAATGTGAATGCTTGCTATTTTAGGTTTAGTAAGTCCTTATTTATAGACTCTTGTAGTATGGGCTTTCACTCTTCAAATCAAATTCAATCTTCACTTTTTAAATCAGTTGCAAGATCTTCACATAAAAATAGGAATAAATCTTTTGAAATTTCTTAAAAAGTATCCAAGATCTTTTTTAATGAAACCAAATCAAATATGCACTTGTTCCTAATAAATCTTCTTGGACGGCAAAAAATAATGAGATATATCCAAAAGGATCTCTAAAAAAATCAAATATGTCAAGAGATAAAACAGTGGCGCCTGCTGCATAACAGGTTAAAATGTTAAGACATATGACTCAACATTTGTCTGATACACATGACAGCAGAACCTGCCATGACAGTTGGTCAAGATGTGACATCTTGCTTAACATCAGTCCAGAACCATGTTTTAGTAAAACCTATGTCAGACCTAAAACCATGAATTTAACAATCTCTCCCTTTGATAAATTTTAGATAAAACAACTAATGCACAATAACCTTGGAGAGAAGAACAAAACTACAACACAAGCTACATGCAAATATGTAAACTTTATACAATGTGCAACAAAAACATATACCAAAGAATGCATGCAGTTACAGATTACCATCTTCAATTCTCCAGAAGGCAGATGTCCAACCATGAGGTTTGACATCATAGACAGGACCAAACTCCCTCTGTCACACATGATCAAGAACCCCCCCCCCTCAAAGGGAAAATCCAAATCACTAGAAAATCCAAAATACCAAATATGAACTACCCAAGTTCACACATCAGAAAGAACAACAGAAGAAGATAAAACAACCTCACATCAGGATTTTCACACAGCTCCAACAGGTAGGATGTTAGAACATCTGGTAAAACAACATACCACAAAAGTAGTAGCAGCAGCAGATGCTCCAAACAAACATGATTGACAATCATGCTCCCCTAAATAGTTGCATCCAACAAGTAACCACAATCACTATTCTCCCCTTAGCAGTAGCACAGTCCTTCCAACATGCTAATCAACATGTCAAGATATATTTCATAACATTAGGACACACAAAATACACTAACACCTTACTCCCTTTTTTTAATAAAAAATTGAAAGAAAAAAATAGAGTAAATGTAAACACAAATTGGAAGCACACGGAAGGAAACACACAAGTAATAACACAGATGAAAGCACACAACAATAGATGGAAACAAACACAAACAACTTCAGGTGCTCATTCACATTTTTCCCCTGTCAAAGATCCTTTTCACTCCTTGATGCTTCCATCAGCCCTTCTATCCTG